GAGGACATAAATCAGATTAATAAAAGAATACCGAAAACAATGAAAGAAACAGCAAAAAATGCAAAAATTTAGCAAACAAAAAAAACAAATGCTAGAGAGAAGAAGAGAACTCATAAAATATGGAAACAAAGATACACCAGAAGACAGAAAGACTAACAAAATAGCCTGAAGGATGACAAAACAAGATATTAAAAACTACCAAGCAGCACAAATCGAAAAATTAATAGAATAATAAAAAGGCTTAAACGTTTTCCAAAGGGAGAACGCGCACAAGAGTGGAATTACAAAGCTGATGGACAAACAAGGAAACATTATAGAAGACAAAGATTGTATATTGCTTTTGGCGGAAAATATCTAAAAGGAACTATACCACGCAAAAAGCCACAACCAAAATGTCCAAAATAACAAACAAGAAACCAAAAGCGAAACATTCAAAATTCTGAATGTTGGATCAGAAGAGATCCCTGATATAGAAGAGGAGGAAATTGCAAAAGCATTAAGCCAATTAAACAACGGAAAATCGCGAGGAATGGAACTGGTACTACCAGAAATAATAAAGGAGGCAGGAGAATACCTTGTAAAACAACTGAAAACACTTTTCAATAAATGTCTAACAGAGGGGAAAATACCACACGACTAGGAGACTGCCATCGTTGTTCTGATATACAAGATTATAGATTGTGGATTCTGGGGGAGTCGTTTCGGCTTTTCAGCCGCTCAGCACTGCTACCTTTGCAAATATTTTGTACGTTATTCTACATCTTAAGTTGTCTCCAGGAGGCGTAGACTTCTGCCGAAGGAAGCTATTTTCCTGGGTGTCAGTTGGCCCACTTCTTCTGATGACAGTGTTGCCCCCTCGAGAAATTTGAGTCTCTTGCAGAATTGGGCTGGACATTCGCAGAGTAGGTGCTCTGCGGACTGTATTGCGTCTGAGCAGAATCTGCAGTGATCGTCTTCTGCTCTGCCCATTAACCTTAAATGGTATTTTACCAGGCAGTGTCCTGTGAGCAGTCCTACCACCAATCTGATTTCTGGTCTGCTCATGTTTAGGAGCTGTTCAGCTCTTTTTGCTGAATGGGTAAAAAACCTTTTTGACTATCTGAGTCCCGGAGTGTGCCTCCAATATGCTTGGGCTTTTCATTAAGCCACAGTAGGGCTCTGGTCCATGATATGGTGTTGAGGCCCCTTCTTTAGCGAGGCCATCTGCTTCTTCGTTTCCTTCTATGCCTCGATGACCAGGCAGCCACATCAGCGCTACCTGGTTGTGTGTCGCTAATGTTTGTAGGGTCTGTTTACACTCCCAGACTAGTTTTGACGTGCATTTGAAAGCCCTTAACCTTAAAGCTTTTAAGCCAGCTTGGCTGTCCGATAGTATGAATATGTATTTTCTTTTGAGGCTTTGGTTAAGATATAGTGTCTTAGACACTCTTGTGCACATATATCTATGGCAAGCAGTTCGGCTTTAAATATTGTAACTACACTTAAACACCTTTCAATAAATGTCTAACAGATAGACCCTGAGATAGGGCCTGTTTAGTGGAATCATTTTTTTTTGTCTGGCATTTTGAGGGATGAATGGTGGCTATTCAGCTGATGAGAATATAAGTGGTTTTAATGCCTGTCCCCTGTTCGAAATGTCCACAGAATCTTTCGCCGGAAAACTCGATTTCGAACTGTGATTACCGTCTGGCTATTTTTCAGCGTTATTTTCACAACAAAATCTTTCATTCTCCCGATTGCCAGACAAAAAGTAAACGCGGAAGGTTCTTTTCTTTTCCCTTGGAAGTTGTTACCCAGTCCCACTTTTTCAGCTATTGAAAAGCATCTGGAATTTTTCATGGGTGAATTATTTATCAATGTCAATCTTTTATTTAAAAGCCAGAAAATTTGAGATCATTAAAAAAAAATGTTCATAAAAATCAATTTTTTTCTTCTGCAAATTTTCGAACGGGAGGCAGGCATTAAAATCACCCATATTCTCATCAGCTTAGTAGCCACATTCAGCCCTCAAAATGCCAGACAAAAAAAAAATGACTCCACCAAACAGCCCCTATCTCACAATCTAAGAGGGGAAAATACCACACGACTAGGAGACCATCGTTGTTCTGATATACAAAAAAGGAGACCCATCAAATCTTGAAAACTATAGAACCATAAGCCTCCTGTCTCAGATATACAAACTGTTTATGAGAATAATCATCAACCGTATAGAAAGTAAATTCGATGATTACCAACCTAAAGAACAAGCAGGCTATAGAAACAGCTACAGCAATATAGAACATCTTCATACAATAAGAATACTAAATGAAAAGGCCACCAAATATAACATTACAACATCATGACTAGCATTCATCGATTTTAGAAAAGCCTTTGACACTATCTAATTCTGGGATAGGAAGAGCTCTATGAGAAATGCATGAATAGATCAGCCATATATATAGATACATATTCAAAAATATTCAAGAAGCAACAAAAATTAAATTAAGAATGCATGAAGATACAAACGAAGTGAAGATCAAGGCAAAGTAAAGCAAAGTGATATAACATCACCTAAGCTATTCACCTTAGTCCCTGTTCAAGGCACCACATTGAGAAAATAGAGGGATTATTATATCTGGAGAAAACCTCAACAATTTAAGATTCGCTGATGACATCGCAATATTCGCCCGGAACGAAACACACTTAGAAATCATGCTGAAAGAATTACTCCAAGAAGAGCAAAGAAGATCGGATTAGAAATAAACAGTGTTTATGATAAATGAGCAAACACAAACAGATAGGGATACAATAACCATAGAAAAGCAGATGGCCAAAAGAAGGAGCCTCAACACTATACCATGGACCAGAGCCCTATTGTGGCTTAATGTAAACCCACATCATGGAAGAACTCAACAAATGGGAGAAAGACCAACTGTCATCATATTGGAGGCACACTCCGAAACCAAGACCATCAAAAAGGTTTATCACCATTTCAGGAAAAAGAGCTGAACAGCTCCTAAACATGAGCAGATCAGACATCAGAATGGTCGTAGGACTACTCACAGGACTGGTGAAATATCACTTAAGATTAATGGGCAGAGCAGAAGACGATCTCTGCAGATTCGGCTCAGACGCAATAGAGACCGCAGAGCACCTGCTCTGCGAATGTCCAGCCCAATTCTACAAGAGGCTCAAATTCCTCGAGTGGGCCAACTGACACCCAGAAAAATAGGTTCTTTCGGCAGAAGTCTACGCTTCCTGGAGACAATTTAGTATGTAGAGTCACGTATAAAATATCTGCAAAGGTAGCAGTGCTGAGCGGCTGGAAAGCCGAAACGACTCCCCCTCACAATCTACAATCTACAACCATAGAACACCAACAGGTAGGTGGAAAAAGAAACTCCTACCAAAAGTATCTAGGACAGGAAAGGAAATAACGCTCGGCAAAGTGAATCAAGAGCTTGAAATTGATATTTAGAAGTAGACGACTGGGACGATTTCCAACTGAGCATCATATTTCTTTGAAAAATGATGCCGTTCCACATATTCAGCCTCCCAGGAGAGTTCCTAGAGCATTGCATGATAGATTGAAATTGAAACTAGAGCAACTTGAAGTTCAAGGTGTAATTAAGAAACTTGACGAACCAACTGAGTGGCTGAATCCTTTAGTCATAGTGGAAAAAAGTAATGGAGACTTGAGGTTGTGCCTAGACCCCAAGTATTTGAATAAGGCAATTCAGCGTGAACATTTTTTAATTCGGACTTCTGAGGCAATTGCTGTCAAATAATGTATCAAAGAATATTTTTCTGTGCTTGATATGAAAGACAGTTATTTTCAGATCAAAATTGACAATCGAAGTTCAAAGTACACGGCTTTTGGGGGATTTGAATTTCTGCTTTTACCTTTTGGCATTTGTTTTGCCCCGGAAGTCTTTCAAAGGAAAATTTATGAAATATTTGGGAACTTGGAGGGCGTAGGGCTCTATTTTGATGATCTTATATTTAGTTACAGGTAGAAATCAGTTCGAACATGATCATAATTTACATTTAGTACTTGAACGGGCTCTCAAGTATAATATTAAATTTAATTCTTCGAAAATCCAGTTTAAATTGATTTATGGGACACATTTACTCAAAGGCGGGGTTAGAGCCAAATAGAAGTTATGTTAAAGCAATTCTTGATTTGCCAGAGCCAAAAAACAGAAATGATTTATTAGGTGTCCTTGGTATGGCAAAGTATTTGGGTAAATTTATACCAAATTTGTCAAAGATTACTGCTCCATTGAGAGAGTTAACAAGACTGGATTGTGTTTGGAACTGGCAGGACATTCATGAACAGTCTCTTTTTCAACTTAAACAACTTTTAACATCCGCACCCGTACTAAAATTCTTTGATTCACAGAAATAAATTGAAATAGAAACTGATACATCGAAGGACGTTCTTGGTGCCTGCCTTCTGCAGGAGGGACACGCTATGGCATTCGCTTCGCGAAGTCTCACTTCAGCTGAACAAAAGTACGCGGAAATTGAAAAAGAAATGCTCGACATTGTTTTTGCCATCCAGAAATTTCATTTCTTCATATATGGTTTAAAAATTAAAGTAAATTCAAATTCATTTAGATCATAAGTCTCTTGAAACCATCATTAAAAAAAGATCTAGCCAATAAAAATTTCGATTCTCTTCCAAGCAATCTTTAATAAAAAATAATGAAACTGCAAGGGACCATGTGAGGAGATCAAAAGTTTTCTGTGGCAAAATTAGGTAAACGATTTCTTCTTAAAAAAACTTGATAATAGTGTGGAATTTTTTCAAAATAATTGTGACCTCCACTCATTATTGATTAAGTTATAATTTAGTTGAAGTCAATATTTAAAAAAATCGATTTGTATCCTACATAAATTTCATTTGATGAGAGTGAATAAGGTACCTATTTGTCTCAATTACTGGATAACTAAACTAAAGGGTGAAAATATATTATAATATGATAAATTTGAAAAACATTATGTTAAAGTGATTTTACCTGTTCTACTATAGAAGCTAAACGTCCCAAAGCCAAACCATGTTCATCCTCTCTGGTTATCACAGCACTTCCTAACTTAATAACAAGCCTTCGGGCGTATTTCAGTTGGCTTCGGTCTGTGAAAGCATTTTCTCGTCTTTCGTGTAGCCCTTTTGATGCAAAATTGGCCTAAATAAAAGCATAAATTAGCACCTAATAATATCAACTAAACTACTTAATAAATAAGTAGGTAAACAAAAACCCTAATTTTTTACTGATAAATTTGTAATTAGTTATAACCTTTCACACGCGCAAAATTTCAAAGTTAAGATAATAATAGTTTACTAAAGTCGAGGAGCATAATAATGAAACGTGATTTTGAAGTAAACAAGCATTTTTCCTGTGAAAGGCATGATTGAGAGCTTTTTTTATTCTGAAATTGAAAGCTTAAAGTACAGCGAGATTATTTTTCGTACTTTAGCTCTTTGGCATTGAACTTAGGGATAAGATAGGAATTCTGTTTGTTAATATTGGTATTATGAAGAAAACATATTACACAGAATTTCGACTAATATGTTTAAAAATACTTATACAGAAGATAGGTAGGTACGTTTAATAATAAAATTCGTATTTTAATATTTTCATCATTTTTAAATTTTTATTTATTTTAAGCATCAATCACTAACAAACAATAGATAAGGATTTTAAAGTGGACAAATCAGTGCTTTATTGGTTTTTTTCTTAGATATTTATCAAAATTAAATACTTAATTCTCACAAATGTTTATTTCAAAAGGTTTTTTTGGGGCTTTTGAGAATAACTTTTCACCCATATCTCTTCAAATTTGGTTATGAAAGTTTGACGTTTTGGCAATAAAATGAATGAGCCTCAAAAGCTAAAGAAAAACTTTTTTTAATTTGAAATACCTAACAAAAAACTGCTGGAGAAGGATTTGAATCAATCTATCAAAAAATAACGGGAGGGATTTAAATCAATCACCCAGTCAACCCAACATTACTTACGAGATTGACCCTGTTTATCTGATCTATTTGAAGTTGAAGGATATAATTTCATTTTAAAATGTTTAGACGCAAATCTCTTATGTAAAAGAAAATAGTCGCGTGTACAGTACAATTGTTTGACCCAAGGGTCAATAATTTTGTTATAAAATTAGGTTATAGTCAGGGGGCCGAGGACCTTTTTTCCAAATCATTAATAACAAGCTAGTTTTTTCAATGCAGCTTCATTTCACCGAGACGCCCAACTTTTTTCTCTTCGAAAATTGCGAAAACAGGTAGCTAACATACTGCGCAGGTGTAAAACATGTCGATTTGGTGACTATGAAAATTTAATTAATAACAGTTAGTTTTTCAGCTAAGTGTTGAGATAATTTTATGAATAATTTGAAACAACATTTGTCCGACAAAATAAAGGGTTTGGTCTACGATGTCCCCCCCCTCAAACATGTAGCAATTACGTTGCATAAAAAATGATTAATAACAAGTTGATCTTTTCAATGTAGGTTGGTAAATATTTTTACAATTAAATGGTCACACTGTCCTACAAATAAACAGGTAGCTATTTTCAGTCCTACACTCAAAAGTTGTCGATTTCACGATTTAACTTTTTTCATTAATAACCGGCTAAATCTTCGTGAGTATCTTCATTTTGATAAGACGCCCAAATTTTCTGTTGCGAAAATTCCAAAAACAGGTAGCTAACAGAGTGCGCAGGTGGAAAACATGTCTATTTGGTGATCATACAAATGTAAATAATAACAGTTAATTTTGTAGCTGAATGTTGAGATAGTTTCATAAATAATATGAAACAACATTTGTCCGACAAAATAAATGGTTTGATCTAGGCTGTCTCCCTTCTCAAACATGTAGCAGATACGTTTCATAAAAGATGATTTATAACCAGTTGATTTTTTTGATGTAGCTTAGTAAATATTACTACAATTAAATGGTTACACTGTCCTACAAATAAAGAGTGATTGATGAATAAAGTATTACCGTGAAGTCGACAACTTTTGAGTGTAGGACTGGAGAAATGTACCTCTTTATTTGTAGGACAGTGTAACCATTTAATTGTAGTAATATTTACTAAGCTACATTAAAAAAATCAACTGGTTATAAATCATATTTTATGTAACGTATCTGCTACATGTTTGAGAAGGGAGACAGCCTAGATCAAACCCGAGATCAAACCATTTATTTTGTCGGAAAAATGTTGTTTCATATTATTTATGAAACTATCTCAACATTCAGCTACAAAATTAACTGTTATTATTTACATTTGTATGATCACCAAATAGACATGTTTTCCACCTGCGCACTCTGTTAGCTACCTGTTTTTGGAATTTTCGCAACAGAAAATTTGGGCGTCTTATCAAAATGAAGATACTCACGAAGATTTAGCCGGTTATTAATGAAAAAAGTTAAATCGTGAAATCGACAACTTTTGAGTGTAGGACTGAAAATAGCTACCTGTTTATTTGTAGGACAGTGTGACCATTTAATTGTAAAAATATTTACCAACCTACATTGAAAAGATCAACTTGTTATTAATCATTTTTTATGCAACGTAATTGCTACATGTTTGAGGGGGGGGACATCGTAGACCAAACCCTTTATTTTGTCGGACAAATGTTGTTTCAAATTATTCATAAAATTATCTCAACATTTAGCTGAAAAACTAACTGTTATTAATTAAATTTTCATAGTCACCAAATCGACATGTTTTACACCTGCGCAGTATGTTAGCTACCTGTTTTCGCAATTTTCGAAGAGAAAAAAGTTGGGCGTCTCGGTGAAATGAAGCTGCATTGAAAAAACTAGCTTGTTATTAATGATTTGGAAAAAAGGTCCTCGGCCCCCGGACTATTAATGAATGTAATCAAAATAAAGGAGTACGTAAAAGCTATAGATACAGAATTAAAGCCCAATTAACGGGCAACGGTGAATAAGTAAATACGGTCAACACACTATAGGTAATATCATAGGCGAACTTTTTTCTTGGTTCATATTTTTTCATAATTTTCATGTGTGTTCGCCATCTTCACTGTATTATTTTATCGAAGCCGTGATCTGTATCAGATTCGTTGAATTCTCTATCAGCATTAAAATATCCTGGGCATGGATTCCGAAACCACGATTTGATAGGATCAGGATCGTCTATCGTCAAGCCGTGCAATAGACGATACTATCGAATTGTGGATTCGGAATCCAGGCCCTGATGTCTTGTATACATAGGTATGTTGGAAACATAAACTATTGGAAGCTTTAACAATTTTAGAATCCAAATCCTGAGTATTTACGCAAAGTTTCTCTTAGTTTTTGCGCTTATATTTTCAAATTCACTAAAAAAGTGCTTTCGATTCAGGTACTTCTGCTATCATGCAACAATTATCAATAATTATTTCAACAGTCTCCTTTTTTACTGCAGATTTACGTCCCAATTCTAGCTAGGTATTCTATTACCAATGATTTAGGCTCGTCACACGTGGTCCATCTAACTTATTCTGGAGAAAAATGTAATATCCCTTCTGCATGTTCTGGAGTTTTAGTGGAATTTTCAACAAGGCTTTCTGTAGCATTATCATTTTTTTATATTTGGTTTGATAGCAAGTTGGCTAGAATCTTCGATTTAAGTCAAGTTCAACTTTGTCTAATTTGAGTGCAACCTTGCAAGCAGTAAACTCGTGTATGGTTTTTTGGATTTTGGACATTTTCTCAATGATTTTTTTCCCTCTTTATTAGCAAACAGCCTCAAAATGATAATATCTCTTTTGTAGAAGACTCAATATTTTAAAAAAAAAAACAATTTTGAGTCAAAAGATCGGTATACAGGGTGTTCCAAAGGGAAAGGGAAATATGTATTTTGAATGTGTGATGAGGCAGCCTACAGCCAGGTTGCCAAGTGGTTAACTCCGATGACCCAGGCGAACCATGGTACACACCAGGGGTCGCTAAAGGGAACCCATGACGTCACAACCGTCATCATACCGAACCACCACGAAGACACTAGCTCCGGCAATCTACTGCTACTCATGAAACCGTGAACTGATTCCTCCTGCGCGTCCGTCCGCGACCTCCATAAAGGTCATAGTCTCAACTCTAGTTAATTGCTTAACTCTATATTTAATCCTGTGATATTAGTAATAAAACGCTTTAGTAGAATCTCGCTTTTATTTACACAAGCTCGGTTATCACAGAATGCAGATAGGGGCGATCGAGAGGGTTCCAAAAAACCTATATTTGATAGGTCTATTACCAGGGTGAATTATCTATTTTGTTACTTTTTTCATTCCCCTATAACTGAACGACTCCGTATTTTGTTCTCAGATTTTGGTATACTTATTAATGGTAACTTACCTAATATCTTAATTCACTATGTTGGAAAAAAATCCAGGTCCGTCTTTGTCAATCTTCCATATTCTGTCTACCCCTAAAAGCCACCCTATATGTATTTAAATTTTTAAAAGTTTCCTTTTTTAATTAATTTAGCACGAAACATGCTACTCCAAAATATAGTGTCCATCTTGTTAAAATAATGAAAAATAATAAAGAACTTGTCGTACACAGCTTTTTGAAGCTTAGGGAAATAATAAGTTAGCATAAGTTAGAGGATCCTCTGGTAAACTGTTTAGAAGTATTTATATTTTAGTATATGTGTATACCTATTTATTTATTGTTAATAAAAATGTGTATTAGGAAGTCTTACTTATATTTATCGCCGATGATTTATTTGAAAATTTGCTTCCCATCTAAGGAAACAAATTTTTGAAACAATCGCCAGGGAGGTGTAGTATAGTGAGACCACTGTATAGTAAAATTAGGTTTGACCACTAGGTATATTATGTTTATATTGAAATGTATCAAGTAAGACAACAATTGTAAGTAAATTTTAAACAATTAGGCTGTAGACCGAGGGAAAGGAATTAAGGAGTAGAGTTAGACAGTAGATGTTGTAACTGATAAATTGTAATTTTAATGGTAATCAAGTACCTATTCTTGAAGTATTCCAAAAAGTTGTCTGATTTGGCTTGAGTACGGGATCACGGAAGCATAAGAATAGAAGCATTGATAAATTTATTAGAGCACGAATTGTTCATAAGAAAGGTTTATGTGTGAATTATTTTCAGCCTCTACTCTGTTTGTGCTGAACGCGTTTAATGAAGTTTTCCC